GACATCTTGATCACTATCCATTTTATTTGTTGATCTGGAAGCTCCCTGGTTATGGCTTGGCTATCTGAATGGGTACCTTAGGGATGAATGTCCAGCTCTGTGTGCCTGCCTAGGAGTGAGATCACAGGCAGCACCTAGACAGCCTGGTTTTCAGTACTGGTGCTTGTGGAGGAAACTCTTTGTCCAGGGAGGGATCAGCCCACTCCTGGAGGTCACCTTAGGGTGAGCATCGAACATTATTGCAGCAGGTGACTTGTGTACTTTGTCAATGCTGCTTTGGAGCTTTGCTGGGAAGCTTCTTGTGCCAGCAGAGAGCAGTGGCTGAAACAAACGCACTGGAGCTTAACTTGTGCTCATGGCTCTGCCCTGAGAGTGCAGTCAGGGTGTCAGCATTCACAGGGTACCTCCCCAGGCATTGCAAGAGAAGATGCTGGTGAGCTCTCAGACATTGAAAACACAAATGAAAACTCTTGCATAGGTAATATGTAGACAATAGAAGCAATTACTTATGTTTCTGTTGTTATTGTTCTGGCTTTTTGAGATGAGGTCTCACTATGTACCCCTGACTGGCCAGCAGCTGCTTTACAGACAAGGCTGGCCTCAGGTTAGTGGAGCCTCTGCTTCCTGAGTGCTGGGATTAAAGGAGTGCACAACCATACATGGCCTTTATGTTTTAATACTAAGTAACTCTTAACTTCACTAAGAGATGTGAGTAAAGTATCAGATGTGTACCACCACGGGGAGGGAGGAAGGGAGGGAGGGAGGGAGGGAGGGAGGGAGGGAAACATATATTATCTGTTTTAAGTAAAGTAGTTTGTTGGCTCTAAAAGGAAGAGAACGTGCTTTCTCCCTGTGGTTTCTCCTCCATTTCTACTATGTCTGATTGCTTTGTGCCTCTTAGCCTCTGGATCTGGCTTATGTTTTGTTGCTTGGTTGGTTTCAGGGTTTTTGCATTCACAAAATGGCATAGTTGATAAGCAGTGGGTTCTGAATGGCCCAGTGAGGAGGTATTCCTTAGAGCCTTAAAACATGTCTGAGAGAAGGTTGTTTCTTTTTTCCTACCTTTCAGATCTATATCAGGTATTATTTAGTTGCTTAACTTTCCCTTTAATTGGCTGAAAATTTTATACTTTTAGCTGAAAAAAAAATCAGATGTTCTTAGCATTACTTTTTCTTTGGTGAAAGCAGTAGTTTTTAAAATGTCTCCCCAGTGACACTCCCACAGTGATAGTACAAAGAAGGTCTTCAGGCTAGGTCTAAATGGTGGACTCTGGTGTGGGGAATGATATCAGTTCTCTTGTGGATGTGTTAAATGACCTTTTGTAAATATTACCTACAGCCTTTTCTGTTGTACACTCATTACCCATGGTGTCTAGCCATCAAACTTAGGAAAGAATTACAACAAAAGATTATGGAGAGCCCCAAATCAGACCAACCTATAGCATCCATATTTAAAAAAAAAAAAAAAAGATGAAGAAGCACAGGCAGATGTTGAACAGAGGTGCTGTGTTTGCAGGACAAGTCACCATTGCCTGAGGTGTGTTGGACTAGGGCTAAGGGTGAAATTCTGTCTTTACTCATGTAAGTTCAATAAGTCGTAAGTGCTGCTTCAGTAATCAGCTGAGAAATAACAAGTCACTGGAGCTTACATAGAGAAACACACGAGTGGATTCCAAGCTCTCCCTCTTACCACTCTGCTCTTGTTTTTTAGTGAATACCCTACTCGGCGGACAAAGAAAGATTCAGAGGGCTTAGAGATGGGAGTGGCAGGTTCCATCAGCCTTCTGCAGAACGTGACTGTGTCTACTCAGCCCGTCTCCAGTTTGGACTGGAGTCCTGACAAAAGGGGGCTCTGCATCTGTAGTTCCTTTGATCAGATGGTGCGTGTGCTAATAGTTACAAAGCTCCAGACCATTTGACCCAAGGCTTTGAACTTGAAATTGTCCAGAGGGTTACTCACAGAATTTGAGTTGTGTTCTGCATCCTCTGGCCTCATTGAAGACGGTTGGACTTGACTGATGAATGACAGCTACAGGCACAAAGCCAGCCAGCCTCGAGCATCTTTGGGTGTTTGGTGGCCAGACCAGCATGCTGCTGCATGTGAAGGTACCACACACCAGGGCCAGCTGTGTTCCTTTTTCCCATGTTTCTACTCAAAAAAATTAGAGCCAGGAGCTGTGGTATTTGCTTGTGGTACCAGCTACTTACCAGGCTGGTGCAAGCAGATCAGGATAGCCCATAAGATCAAGACTAGCCTGGGCAGCATATTGAGACCCTGCCTTTAAATACAGCTGGTCACTGGCACTGAAGACATGGCTCTCTGAGAAGAGTGCTGGATGCTCTTGCTGAGGACCCAAGTTTGGTTCCGAGTATCCATATCAGGTGGCTCACAACCCCTGTAACTCCAGTCGCAGGGCATCTCATGCCATTTTCTGGCTGTATTGGGCAGTGATACTTACAGACACAGGCACATTCTTAGAAACTTAAAAAATAAAATTGTATTTAAATTAAAAAAAATTTTTTTTAAAAAAGCCAAAGTCAGTAGTTGTTATTTAACTGTATTTTAAGTTCGTTCTGTATCTGCATAGCTCTGTGCTTTCTCTGTACATTTGTGCTTCCACTAGGAATCACTTCACTTGGTCTGTAAAGTACCAGAAGAACACAGTTCAACTGGCCAGCCTGGAGAGCTGTTTTTAGCAGTGTAACTGGTAAAATACTGTGACTTCCAACCATCTCTCTATTACTCAGATATAAGCCTTGGTTGTCTTTTGACTGTGGTAAGTGATGATTGAAGACTGGAATGATTTTTTTTTTAAAACTTTGTCAAACCTTTAAAATATATTTTTAAAATAAACAAACAGGTTTTTAAAATATGTGGAAGCTTTGATTCTTTTGCTTTGTTTTCCCTCTCTTCCTCTTGGTTACGTACACCGTAGTTCACTGCTCTTGACTCTGGCCCGCATCATGAGCTGAGCCTCCTGACGGACTGGATTAATCATACTCACATTAAACCTTGTGTCCCCCAGCTCCGTTCAAAAGTACAAAGACACCTAGAATATTCATAATTTACAAAACCAATGAAGTCTTTATTCCCAAAATGCTTTTATAGAACATAGTTGTGGGGGGTTAGGTGCTTGCTGAGTTCTGAGGGCTCTCATCTCAGTGAATAAAGTGGAAAGAGACAGACATGCAACCCTGACCACTGCATATGCACAGCATGCACACATACAAATACAAAGCACATTTTAAAAGGAATGAGGTTGTGGGTATTATATCACAATAAAAATAAAACTGATCTTTAAAAAGGCTGCTTGCAAGCTGGGCAGTGGTGATGCACGCCTTTAATCCCAGCACTTGGGAGGCAGAGGCAGGCGGATTTCTGAGTTCGAGGCCAGCCTGGTCTACAGAGTGAGTTCCAGGATAACCCGGGCTATACAGAAAAACCCTGTCTCAAAAAACCAAAAAAAAAAAAAAAA